GAGGCCGCGTGGCCCGGGCGGGAAAAGTGGCCGCGGCCCAGGTGACAGGGGGGAAAAGGGCCGGGGATCCGGTTCGTACCCCGAGGCGGAGTTCGCACACCGAGGGAAATTTTTGCGGCCGGAGCTGGTCGTAACCCGAAAAGCTCTTGAGCAGAGGCGCTCGTAACCCAAGGTACCACTGTATAAATAGGATGCTCATCAATGGGCACAATTCTTTCAGTCTACTATCTGGCAGTCAGAAATAGGTCCTAAATGTGGAGGTTCTCATGGTAACAACTAGTAGATGGGTTTTTTTTTTAAAAAAAAAAGGTAATTCACATATATGAATTTTTGTGATATGTACAAATGCCCCCTTTTGCCAGTTTCTAACTTACCACTCATCATTCTTACTAAATTGAGATCTAGTATATAAACACATATGCCGTACACACTATTGCACATTAATACAATTGCACACACATCAAAACATTTGCCTAATCAAGCTTGCAGGACATAAGAAAGTTAAAACAACCAGACTTTCATCAACGTATCCATCGCCCACTTAAAAATATTTTTCTTGTTCAGTCACCTATAGCTCAAATCTCTTTAGCGTATACACAAATGTGAATGAAAAAAATCAAGAAAGCAATCAATCAATGAACAGGGAATACTGAAACCAAGGTCACTTTATATTTGCTTCCTCAGTTGGAGAGATCCACCTGGTGATTTCATTATGTCTTTTTGTCTAACCGTTCTAAACAATTTGGTATTGTCAGCAAATCTGGCTATTTCATGTCTTACCCCCAAAATAGAGCATTTATAATGAAGTTGAAAGGATTTCTTACCTTATTTATTTCAGAACTGACACAGATGTTCCAAGCTTCATCTTAAACTGCCACAAGTAGCCAAATGAAGTTGCCATTTTCGCTCTTGTCCAGCACAGGCTCAACTACTCTGGTGAGAAAATCACTGAAATACCATTATTTTGATTAGTGCAAGGAATATATCAAGACAAAGCCCAATTCATATATTCGGTACTATAACTAGAATAATCAGAAAGAGGAGGTAGAGATTCCTTTGCAATTGTCAATTTCACTGGCTTTCATATGGGAAGCTTTCATATGGGAACCACATCACATTTCTATATGACCCTTGACAAACAAACAAACAAACACTTTCTGATCAAACAGAGGATTATTTCATTCAAAACCTATTCTAGGTTATGTTACTTAACATTATAAGCAGGACATAATTCACATAGTTCCAAACAGTACTGTAATTATGCAAAGGATATGACCATTTTTTCAAGAAATTTATCATGAGGATCTTCTGTTTTGGGGAACTTCTTGATATTGTTTTCCAAACACTGTATCTGGTGTTGCATGGAATCAAGATTGCCTTTAAGACTTTGAGCTGAAACTGAGGGAAAATATGGTAATTCAGAAACCAGATCTGGACTTACGAGGGGAGAAAAAAGCTATGTCAGAAGTAATATTTGTGAAGGCAGTGAAGATAATTCCATTAATATGTGCTCTCATTTTTCTGAATTACTGCTCATAAAAGTTCTACTATTCATAAAATAAAGGGAGATATATAATATAATATATGAAATCATCATGCTTAATGTGAGAATGTCACTATTTTATTCTGCCATTAGTTCAAACTAATCTAGTTCTATTCAAATTTATTGATAGAAATGCTAATATTTCATTCCTTTGAATCTAATTTGTAGATTAAACAGAAACTAAGTTTCAAAGAGATTCTATCTTAGCAATACATAAAGTTGATGATTTAAAGAAAATCTGCAGAATAGATCTTTTTCTCTCTTTCTTTCACTGAAATGACTAGATCTGTAGAAACTTCTAACTACTGAAAGTTTTTAACTGGTACTTTTAACAACTTTAACCTAATGGGATAATGCAAATTATTGATATTCCAAATAGTTGTAAACAAAGACACATGCACACCATAACACATCACTTTTGTAATTAATTGCAAAGCAGCAGTTATATTGTTCAAATTAATATTAGATGTTAATCAATTACTATTATTTTATTCACTGTGGAATATCTTATCTTTTCTTTTAAATTATTCTTAGCTTATTAGCGTTGCAGCGTAATATTATAAAGTGTAGAGAAAAAAGATCTTCAAAGGTATATATATTTTTCCAATTATATATATTTAAATGTATACCCTGCTTTTGAAATGAGTGTTAAAGCATTTTGTAAATAGCAAGATGATGATGGCAATTGCTGAAACAAAACCAAAATAACAACAACAACAACAACAACAATAATCTATAAATATAGTTTAGGCAAAAGCATTACAGGTGAAAGAAACAAAGAGTATAGAAAGAAAAATGATTTGTTCACAGTCATTTTTCTATGTAGAACTGAACAGGAAAACCAAAGTGATTGTTTACATGTTATAAATTTCAGCATGCATGCATTTGTTTCCATGGCCAATGTTTTAACATATAAAAGTAACAAAAGTACTGTTACAACAAGTTATTTCTTCAGCAATACCTAGGCTCCTGATGATTAATTTCAGATAAAAACCATGGCTGTAAAAGTGAAGATTATACATCGTGGGCAAATGAAATATGTAACTGCATTTTGAGTCTTCTGTTGCCAATATTAACAGAAACAGGAGAAAGATTAAATGGTATTCCTATGAACCCAGTGAAGGAACTATGATTCTGAAGATGCTTTCCATAAAGCATCAATAACAATGAATGACTATCTCTGTTATTAAGTAATTTATTTAGTATGATCAGTATGGCTCCAACAGCATCTGGTACTTCTTCCCCCCAAGCACACACACACATATGCACAAAACATCCTATCTACCACAGCAAATGATTTCACAACAATTATATAATTGTTAACATCTAAATAAATTATTAGTGTCAGTTATGTAAAGGGCTGAGTCGTCAAATGTATGAGAACAGAATTGACACCAACTGTTGCTCCACTGTTTTGAAGGGACATAAACCAGAGATCCCTAAAGCTACAACTGGTCCAAAATGCAGGGTGCAGGCCATTCTGGACATACCATAGTATGCCCCTGGAACACCACTGCTTTGCAAGCTAGCCTTCAAGGCATAGGGCTGGATTATTTGTGGGGCTGGGTATCTCCAATTATACCTACCCATCCCACAAGGCCTGACCAAATGGGTATGGTTTGGGATCTCTCTATAACACAATATAATGCAGGCTTGACTTCTCCGTGCAGGGCCTGCTCTTTGGAATAGCATACTCATCCACCCTTTCCAAGCCTCAACTGCGTTGGCCTTCTGTAACACTTTACAAACTTGTTTTTTTCCCCCGGGCATTAGGCTAAGATGTAGACTGAGCCTGTATAGTAAATGGTTTGGGTTGCTATGTTGGGTTCAGCCTCAACCTATGCTATTTTTTTGTTTGGCTTTTACAGTGTTTATGTTCACTGATTACCTTACTGGCATTTTTAATCCTACGTTAGTGGCATCAGAGCCACAATTTCCAAGTTAGGTGGTCATATAAATTGCATGCATCAATAAATACACACAGACACACATACAGAAACATCCTAACTTGTCCTTAAGGGAAGGGGGAAGTAGTATAAACAGTCCATCTTCTGCAAAGACTCCTTCCACCCACAACTGTTCCTAGAAGGGTATCTCAGGAACCTTCATGTCCTGAACGGTAGGAAGAAGTAGATTAAGAAGTTTTCCAAGTATAAAGAAAAAGAGAGTGACAGAGTGACAGAGACAGAGAAGAAACTGAAAACAACTGCGAGGGGGGGGAGGTCATTAAAAGACTGAGAAATAGGTAAACTCCCATTAGAGAACAAACACAATGCAAACCTGATAATCAGACCAGAATATCCAAATTTCCAATCACCTGGCAAGTAAAAAAAAACAGCACTATTGCTATATTTTGTTCCCCCATCCTTCTCCTTCTGAATAATTTCCCTTGTGTCTCATGTCTTTTATATTCTGAAATTAAGAACAGTTCAGTAGCAGGAGCTAATTACTGATTTTTGTAAAGCTCTGGCTGAAGGATGCTGTATGGATACTACAAATCAACAGCTAAATAATTTGGACTATAGTTAAGTACAAACACTTTCATACTGCACATTTATGGGCAACACTACACCAGGAAGACACTTTCAGGGAAAGAGGTTTGCAGATTATAGTCAATGCTCATTGAAAATGTTACTTTGTGAAGAAACTCTGATGAAGCTTAAGCTTAAGCTACAATTTTGAGTTGAGAATATGACAAATGCTAGAATGGATTTGATCAACCTTCCTAATGAGATATAAACTTATACAACAATATGAATTACTCTTGTACTTTCCCAGCATATTAGAACTCTAGGACCTGAAACAGATTTTCTAGCAGTAAATTTAGGACAAATAAATTTATATAGCCGCCCAGAGTTACTTTGTGAGATGGGGGCTATATAAATGTGATGAATGAATGAATGAATGAATGAATGAGAATGCTTCACCAAGCACACAACAAACCCTTAACATAAAAACATACTGTGGTAACAAGTTGTCTGAGGGAATATTTTGCACATAACTTGCACTGTCTTAAAGGGAAGAAAAACAGATAAATTGGTGAAGGCTAAATCCAGTCATAAGTATTAACACTGGTAGCCAGAAATAGAAGATTGTTTTTCAAAGTCCAGGATTATATCTGTGCTTGCTAAAAAGCAATCCAGATTCACTAATATTTTTCCAAACACACAAACTCAAATTGCTTGAATGACCATGAGTGGTAGATACACCCGATGATGAAAGACAGGTTAAAGATTTCTGTCACAGTGTAATTTTCTTTTCATCACATCATATAAGCACAAATAATTCAAAACCAGCTTTTAAACAGATTATTACTTAGGGAGCAATTCATCCTCGTGAGTGTCTGGAATACGGGAAAGGTCATAAGACTCATTTCTTTGCCGAGACAAGTAATTTGCTAGACTTTTAAGCATTCTGGTTGTACAAATTGCCTACAGAGAAAAAGAGGAGGCAAGATGGAGAACATTTTCCTCCCCCAGATTGCCTGTCTTGGCAATTTCTCTTGCATGAGTTCTGTGGTCCGAGGTATTTCTTGGAAGAATGTTGAGGATAGTGCTAATAATTTAAGGAAACAAACTTTTATTTTCTTCTGCTAACTCCTTCCAAGTCTCAACGGGAAATCCCTGTAGAGATATGATAGACAGTTATAATGCCTAGGTTCATGTCAATACTTCTGTTTCAAAGGTACAAAAATGTGAACAACTGAAGAAAAAACCAAAACCAAAATAAAACCAATTCTGAAGACTTGTTTGTGTTTTGTGAAGTTAATATGGTTCTACTGAAGTACATATTTTTGTAGTAAAATCGAAGCACACCAAATATATGACAAAAATTTGGAATAGATGATACTCTACTTGGTTAGGTTTAGTGTAACAGAGTTGAGCCATGTGAGTCTGTATGTGTGTGTGTGTATGCGCGTGCACACACATGTAAGCACACATAGGTCATCCTGCTTCTCTCTGGGTTTGTAATAATGATTTAGAGGGCAATCAAAAACTATAAATTATAAACTATAAATTAATGAAGTTCATATACATTTCAGATAATGATTTAATAAACCAGTTGGGAGTGTGAACTATGGACTGGAATTGCATCTAAAGCACAACACTATTAAGACACACACACACACACAACCATCCCAAGAATGACAACAAAGAAAATATAAAGAATCTGAAGATCAAAATAAAATAAAATTGAATAAAATAAAGCAAAAAATAAAAGCACCCTAAATAGGTAATGCAACTGATTTTATTTTCATACCACTACTCAGATGCTGAGAATGTTAAATAGCACTTGAAGAATAGACAATTAGAACTTAATTGGAATTTTAATCCAGAATGTCTTTAAATCCTCACATCCAGATTCCAACACGAATACTTTACAATTCTGAGAATTCTATATGTTTCACACTCTTTCTTCAGCTAAAGAACTTGTCTTCAAGACAGCAAAACAGTTGCTAGGATACTAGAAGAAAGTTTTAATAACTACACTGTTTTTATCCAATTTGAATTCTGTGAATATTCTACAATATAACAAAGGGAGTTCTAGCAACAAAACAAAATTATACATATACCTCTCCTCTTCTCTTTCCTCCACCCCAAAAGAAAATGAAGAGAGATGACTGATGATGATGACAATGACAGATGGGCTATTAGTGAAGGAACTACTGAAGGTCCTTCTGTACTTGAAGGTATAAAAAGAGTTGGGTTACGAATTAAGTTGTGCAAATACTGAATAGCATCAAAACATGGACTATGTGGAAATACACCTTAGTAATTATGACTCCGTAAGAGAAACACTCTCAACATTTCATCATCATCATCATCATCATCATCATCATCATCATCGTCATCATCATCAAATCTTCTTTTTCA